GGTTTTATATTGTGTAGCTCTTCTTCATAAGGAGTACAACTCTTATTTTCTGTCCTTTTTTGCAACATTCTGATTTCAATTAATTTGAAAATGAACTGTGTGTGTAGGAGGAAACTCACCATCTAAACACAACGAAGAAGATGTCAAGTTAATATATTTATTTGTTTCAGAGAAAGATCATTCATTATGACAAAATATACGTTTTTGGGTTACGGTAATTATCCATAAAACTGGGATATAGAGCGTGACTATATGGCACACAGTCTGACAGTTGTGTTTGTGAAGCTGAATAAATAAGTCACTGCAGGCCAGAGCTTTTACTTTTTCAGTAAAGTGTAACACAAATTCATTTCAAATTAATTTTCAAAATACATTCCACCGAGCACGCACATCTGGCAAAAACCTTTCCTTCAGTTAAACACATCTGTTTAAACACTCTGGAACAGGATTGGCTGAACTTTGCAAGAGTCTCCTCAAAAATATAGTCCCTCAGAGAGATGCAGTCTGTGAGGGGGGGTGAAGCGTGTCAGTGTGGATGACAGTCCTGATGGGGGGGGGGGGTGTTCCTAGAACTTCTCCTCTCCCTCCTCCACATCCTTCAGATTGAGGACCTCCAGAGACCCCCGGCCTTTAGTCTCACAGCGGATCAGCTCGTCAATCTCCCTGAAGCAGCCGGGGTCCACCAGAACCACCTGGGGAACAACATTTGTATTATTAAACTTATGTATTTATTATTCATATTTGCTGCCAGGATTCAAGGCAAACAGTGAGGTGACTTTCTTTGTCTAGTTTTCTTTTGTAAAAACTAAACCTGATAAAGTCAATGAAAAAAACCTAGAAACAAAATACAAAGACAATAGACACTGTTTGCAAACAGGAGGCAGTTTAAGTTATTAAACCCTCCAACAGGAAGTCGGCATCATCCCGATTAACCTGCCCTATCTGACCAACGCTATTTGTGTCCCTCATGAAACACAATGTGTATAAATTAATGCTGTCAAAATGATCGCGTTCACGGCGGTAATTAATTTTTTGAATTAATTGCATTAAAATATTTAACGCATGTGCAGAATGGCCCGCCCCATACGTGCCACCAGTGGCAGCGCCACGGTATGGCTGGGGTAGGCTACACCCATACCAAGAAATGGCTTAGCCCCACCATGAAAAATGATGTTAAAGTAAGCAAAATAAAGTCCGCCAACTCACGCCGAGAATTGCACAGACAGCAGTTAGTAAGATTGATTTCAGTAGCCACTTGTCTGGAAATACCGAAGACCAGAAACGGTTTTGAAAACTTTTGTCACGGAGTGATCGTCTTTTCAATAGAACATCTTTGATAATGTCTTCTGGCCAATCAGAATCAAGATAACGGCGTGGTGTTGTTGCAGGAAGTCCCGACGGAGAATACTTTTGCTGTAGTACAGGGGTGCACATAACTGGTACGCAGGTTATGTGCGTAATCTCTCTGAAATGCGTACCGTCACTTGTGTCACAAAGCGCATTTGCGTACCGACGTACTTGTGAAGCTTTTCCAGAAGGCGGTTAGATCACCGGACGATAGAGTCGGTCTCCGTGTGCAGAGACAGGGCTGCTGTTAACGTCGGTCTGTACAACGGAATTGTGCCAAAACTACGCCAACCGGCTACGGAGGGAGACTCCCCCCCTTCACTGGAGAACTGCGCGAAAACAGCTGATCACAACGTTCACACTCTGTGGTCACGAAGTACTCCTCTAGCCCCCCCCCCCCTTCTTTTATTTATCTTTCCATTCCCACAACAATATACATAAAGAAATGACATATTTTGGACATAGTTCGAATGGTGATTAATCTGATTAAAAATGTTAATCGTTTGACAGCCCTAGTACAAATAGATCCATGCAAACATTGAATAGTAAACTGCAAAACAACAAAGAGATGTAATATTGTCAAACAGATGTTAACAACCTCAGGGTAACAAGGTATTTTGTTTAGCTTTTAACTTAGGACCTGTGTCAATAACACAGCATACGTGATTGTAAAGTTTTGTATATTTACACCCTCCACCTTAAAGCGGGGGCCTCACCCAGCTGAGAGAGACTACAGTGTAAGAGTGCGTTTGGAATTGGGACTAATAGTGTGTACCAGTATCTATCTAATGTCCCCCTCACCATCTCCAGCTCCTCGTCGAAGTCCTCGCTCTCCACCACCTGCAGCAGCGGCTTCAGCTTCTCCTTCAGCCTCTTGGCCTCCTTGGCTGGCAGCACCAGGCGCAGCCTCATGTGGGCCCTCTGGATCTCCATGGACTCCTTCAGCTGCCGGATCACTTCCAGAGCCTGAACAGCCGGGTCAGTTAGTTACAAATTCCACCATGATTGTTTTAATATATCTCTCAGTGACAATGCAGCAAAAATGATCACACTATCCTATTCCCAGTACAAATATGTCAATACACTAGTACGGCTTCGTTTCCTCTGCACACAGAAGACAGCAGATGTTGAAATAAGATGTAGCTGCAGAGGAAATGCCGGTTTGCTCCACTTGGGGTGAGCAAAAATCAATATCTTTTTTATGACGCCTGTGAAATAAATGAAAAGAATCCCCCTCCAGATGTGGAAATATATGATTCCAACTGTTTTTGTTGGCTCCAGGAAAAAGCTGTCGGTGTAGATTCATCTTTTGAAATCCATCCAACATCATTTGTTCTGGTCAAAGCCGTGACAAGCCAACACATACATTTAGCATTTGACATTCCAATAAGAGTACGTTTATACATTTGTCTTTGAAAGGTCTACATAATGATATGGTTATACATCAAACTAACAGATCAAATCAATTGTATGCAGCTGAAATACATTCCACTTATTTGTGAAGGGACACTAATGCCTCTCCTCACCTGCTGCTTGGTGCTCTTGTTGGCCTTCACAGAGTAGTGGATGTCCTTCATCGCCCGCTCGATGAGGCTGACTGTGTACGGCCTCTTCGTCTCGGGGTTCACACACTTCTCTGCCACGATAGATGCAATGTCCCTGAACATGGTCTCCAGCTGAGAGTGCCTCTCCTTGTCTGACACCTGGAGCTCTCCTTTGGTCAGGATCTGTCCCACAGAAAAGGAAAGGAAACAGAAGATGAGGTTTAGGGAAACACTTCACAGCTAATGATGATGAATAAGAGGATGGCAGGAAGTTATTACTGACCTCTTTACAGATTTCCGTCTGATCATCTGTCCCAAAAGACTTGGTCAAGTCATCCTTCTTAGCCACCTGACCCTTGGACACATTAACGAACACTGAGTGTGTCTGCAAAACCTCATCCAGGTCTTTCTCTCTGGAAGAAAGTCAAATAAAATGGACATTTTACACAGAATGACAGGCATCAAACTCACATTTATGAAGAAAAACTGCTTGATTTTATGATACAAAAGACATGTTTCGTCAAATCCTTTAAATATTTTGGGTTAAACTTTTCATATAAATGTTACTCACGCTCCTGCTCTCCAGCTTATCACTGAATTCTTGTAGCACGCGATTTCAAAGCGCTTCCCGCCTTTCTTTATCCTCACCACCGCCACATTAGTCAGCCGTATTTGATTTGTTGGCGTGAAAATAGACATGTTTAAGTTAAATGAGACAGGCCGCTCTGTCTGAAGCTGCTGTTGACAAAAACAAGTAGTGCTGCGACGGCAATGCGCTCCAAACGTGCGTTTCCAATAAGTGTCCGCTGTGAAACAATGACGTCAAACAACAGTTCCGCTTTGCCTCTTCGGTCGATTTAAACTCAGTTAGTGGATTATGTTAGTTTTAAAAATAAAGGAATTAAATGAAATATTAAAGAAATTATATAAATCAATATATACGTACAAAAAACATGTTGGTTTGAAGAGACAACGTGTTATTGTGACTACGCAGGTAAGTCTATTAAAAACGTTTTATTTCGAAAGTGTTAAACGGAAGTGTTTCTATCTTATTGTGTAGACGCCTTAACTAGTGGAATGCATTTCCACACTCTGACCACCAGAGGGAAAGGGCTGCTTCTGATTATCTATGAATTTGGAGTTGTAATCTCTACCGTTGTACACTACAGCGAGTCCAAAGGTAATCCTTTTAGAAATCAAATGAAGTGTCATTCTTTTAAAATGTTGAAGGTTTTTGAAAGTTCAATATGTAACACGATTAAAGCTAGGTTTTGAGTCCGAACCTTTGGATTTGTAAATATGATCATACTTGCCAATAATAATTAGAAGCTGAATAATATAGTTCATATTGTTATCAATTCCATAAATACAGAAATACAACATCACATCAAATAAACGAATATATAAATGAATACCCAATTTACAATTTATAAAGTTTTAATATCTGTCCAAAAATACCATTGAATAATCACAGTGAAAAGAAAGATGACATAGGCTATTGTTTCTCTATCCGAAATGACATAACGAATATCAATAATAATAATAATATTAACCAATATATTAATATTAACCAATACATTTCCAATACCTCTTAAGCGGGGTAAATTCTTTACAAAATCTTAAAAGATACTTATTTTACTTTATTATTAATACAATATTTATTTCAAATACAACAGGATTTTTTCTCACTGTAAATAGATCATTATTGAAGACCAAAATAACTTTGCAGCAGGAGCTGTAACACAGTCCAAAGACCAAAGCATTTCTTATGTGTCCGTTTCTACATTTATTCAGACAGGCGGCTGTGGTGACTAAATCTGTGATACCAGATTCAAATGTTGACGAGTGTATTGAAAATACACGAGTCTCTACTGCCCTCAAGTGGCCATGGTGAGAAGCTGCATCAATAAAATAGTCAAAAAGAATCAATACAGAGGGGATTTTTATCTGTACACTTCCGGTCATTACTTTCAAAATTAAATGACCAAACTGAAGCAAGCCGAAACAAATGGACTGTTTGAGATGGGTGTTTAATAGTTAAAATAGCAAAAGAAACAAAACCCTCTCCTTGCTTGAAACGAGAGTTTTCAATGCGAGAATTTTGACACAATATCCCCTTTTTGAATGTCGCATGGACCGCCTTCAGCGTCACAACAAAACACAGAACTACACTTCCCGGCATTCCACAAAACATGGCTGCACACAACATCAGCTGCAAATGACTTTCTATTTGAACACACAATTAACAGCGACGCTGAGTGTCTTCAGAGTTATTATGCTCTGCATAAGTAGTGTGTCTGCATTGGAAACTGAAGGTACGTTCATTAAACGGATTTAACGGAACAGGAAACGAGCTTAGCATCATGTTTCTGCTGGTGTTTGTACTATTGTTAACTAGCATGTTTGCTAGCCACCCGCCTTTATTCAAGGCAGGTGAACTAAGGTTGGGGATACATTATGTTAAGTCCTGTTGCTGCTTTGAAGCCACTGTTGCTCAATGAACGTGTACACTTAGAGAAACTTGTTAACCTTTATTATTCATATTATTTGTCTAAAAAAACAAGAAGACCAAACTTGATGTATTTCCCCCCCAGGCTCACAGAATGCTCTCAGTCCCGGTGAGAGCTATCTTTTGTCGGTATGGCACCACCGGCTGTACCTGTACTCCGCCGCTGCTCTCCTCTTCGGGTCTGGTTCCTCCTGAAGGTGGCTCTGAACAAGGTAAGGTGCTACTGCTCACATCCCTGTGTGCTCCTGTTTGCATTGATGAACAGTTTAGTCAGTGGTTGCTGGTACTCAGTTCAAGATTCAAGGTATTTTATTGTATACAGTTTAACCAGAGGTGGGAGAAGTACTCAGATCTTGTATTAAGTAAAAGTAGAAGTACCAGAGTGTAGGAATACTCTGTTTCAATTAAAAGCCCTGCATTAATTAATTAAATGTTACTCAAGTAAAAGTCAAAAAGTATAAATATCAAAATATACTTAAAGTACCAAAAGTACAAGTAGTCATTGTGCAGATTTACAGACATTTCAGAATAATATATATGATATGTTTTATAATTATTGATCAGTAAAGCAGCTAGTTTGAATGACTCTGTATACTGCAGCAGGGACGTGCACAGACATTTTGGCGGGCGGGAGCTCAAGTGAGAAAAAGGGCACTTCCCATAATCATTTATAAAAAAATGTTTTAAAACAAAAAGTTAAATATAGTTGCATATCTCTGACTTACTGACCAATTTATTTTAATACCCTCACACTCAAGTAATTGTTTAATACTCAACAGAATTCGACAAAAATAATCAGCTAACACAGAGACAATAGCTGCTTTCACACCAAGTACTTTGCAGTACTAAGGCCCCGGCCACACGAGGACGATAACGGTAAAACGCATATGCAAACGCAAACGCAAGCGCAATCGCAAAAAAAGCTTCCGTCCACACGCAATAGACACCGGAAAGTTTCTGTCCACACGAGACAGCTCCGTTTAGCTCCAACCGCTGGAGAAGCTGCAGTACATATGCCGAGCCTGTACGTGGCGCTGTAACTTCCTCCACAAAAGCAGCGAAGAAGCATGGTTGTCATGGTTGCCCTTCTGTTTATTCTCCGTGGTGGGGGCCGAGGGAACCAGGCAGAGTTTTTGGCCAGTCAACGTGTATTAAAGTTTAAATCTTCCGGACAAAATTATAAAAGTGCCGGTCAAAGGTCTTCTTTGTTATTTATTGAGCTTTAAAACAAATGAATAACGACTCTATATAATATAATAATAAAATACACGGAGCCTCTCTTTTTCCTCCCTCTCTTCTGACAGCGTCAGTGTGTTTTCATGCAGCAGTTGATCCAGTAATTAGTGACCCGGCCGACAGAAAAAATAAACATATTTATAACTAGTTTAGGTAGTTTGAGAGGTAATTAAAATAGCTAAGGGTGATGATCTGACTTGAAGTGTGTGTTTTGCTCAGTTCACCGCTGCATCACAGCGGGAGGAGCTGCAGGTGAGCAGAGCTGCGTGTCTCCGTCCTGTCAGATTAGACTTCACTCGCGTTTAGGTCCATATCGAGAGAAAGCTAAATAATCTGAATTCAGTGTGCAGTTTACTTTGACGCGGGGGTGAGCAGCAGAGGTGGGGAGAGGCGGGGCTATTGCCTTATCATTATCAGAAGATGATCGTATAGGGCGTACACACGGAGCCGTTGGACCCCCCAGAGCGTTGCGTATGCCGTTCTATCCACCTTGGGACCCGTTATCGTTACCGCAGTCGTTTAGTGCCATATTCTGTCGTCCTAGTGTGGCCGAACGGTCTATATGTCACAGAACGGTAACGGAAACGACCGTTATCGTCCTCGTGTGGCCGGGGCCTTAGTTTCCAGCACTTAGTTCCCAGCACTTAGCCGATCGCGTTCACACCGGAATAAGTTCCCTGAGGGAAGATTACGCAAATGAAGCCGCTGACGTCACTTCTTCTTCTGCTTTGTCTTGTCTTTATTCTTTGTCTTTATTAGGATCTCCATTAGCATGAGCATTGGCTATTTGGGTTTACTGGCAGGTAGCGCTGCAACAAACGACTACTTTGATAATCGATTAATCTATCGATTTAATAAAACGATTAATCGACTATTCGGACTATTATGCCTTGCACAATTTCTCAAACGCTCTTATTTAGCCATCAACTTTTAGATTTAGCTCGAGGTTGTTTTAGGCATGTGGAAACTAACAATGAAGACAATAAAGATGAATACTTGATTCAAAAATACATATATTATTATTAGGGCCGGGACTCGATTAAAAAAATTAATCTAATTAATTAGAGGCTTTGTAATTAATTAATCGAAATTAATCGCATTTTTAATCGCATATAAATATTTGACCTGAGAACAGTGAGAAGCAATTTTTTTCACATGGATTTTAGTATACCATTAGGCGCATTCACACCGCAGTACTTTTCCCACAAAGGTTCATGAGAACTTAGTTCATGAGAACAAATGAAGCCGCTGACGTCACTTCTTCTTCTTCTGCTTCGGGTTTACTGGCAGGCCGCAAACCACTTCACGGCGTATACTGCCGCCCAAAGTCCCCGGCTGGAAGTCCCCGGAGTTGGGGACTGGCTTCAGTAGAAGCTGCTGGGAGTCCCATCAGCTTCTACTGAAGCCTTCCGAGTAAATCGCCAGAACGCCGACACCTCCTCATCTCTACCGCTCCCATGTTTTATTTTGTGTTGCCATAAGTTAGTCTCTCTGCGTTTCTGCGCTGGGCTAATGCTAATGCTAATAATGCTAATGCGAGGATAATAAAATGGCGGCTTCACCAAACTTTTTGGGAGTTTTACGGGGCGTGGTTTGCAATCCGCCCAGCCAATCAGAAATATAGCTCTTTTCTCACAAGAGAGCCGTACGAAAGTCCCTGCTCTCTAGCAGCTCTCTGCTCTCTAGCAGGGACTTTCGTGGGGGTAAAAAGGTTCTCATGAACTAATTTTAGTACCGGCTCTTTTTGGTGTGAACCATAGACTGTATGGTGTGAACGCGATAAAAGAGGCTAACGTCCACGCTAGCTGCTATATGTTTTGCATTGAGGTGATACTTGAGGCTTGATGTGCTACGGTGATATGCGAATTCCTTTTTGCATAATTTGCACACAACCGTGCTCTTATCAACGCTTCCATCCGTCCGTTTTTTAAAACAACATTTCCCACTGTTGTTCACTGTGGTTTGTTGTTGTCTGAAGTCATGAACGTTAGTTGGTGCTCCAGTATAATCGGTACGCCTGAAACTCATCCAGTGAGAAACGTTCCGGGGTGCAAAAATAAGTGCGATTAAAATGCGTTAATTTTTTTAACGCGTTAATTTTTGTGTAATTAATTAATCTTAATTAACGCGTTAAAGTCCCGGCCCTAATTATTATTAAATTAACACATTTTGAACAAAATTAACATTGCTTTTTATTTAAATTAAATAAATAATATTTCACATCAAAAGAACAATCGTATTAAACAATGTGATGACAGAACTGTAAACAAAATAGCTGAAACTTTAAAGGTGACCTATCATGCTATATTTGAACAATATATTGTAGGGCCATACCTATATAAATATAGTTGTTTTTTTTCAAAATACCAAACAGATCCTGCATTTTAGCCATGCCTCATTTCGCTCTATATGCTCTTTCCAGCGCTGTTTTTGCAGGGGGCTGATTCTGTGAGCTGCAGCTAACCACGCCCCCCTGCAGGAGAGGGGAGCGTGCTCTGAGATCAGCTGCTAGGCTGCAGCAGGGAGAATAGGGGGAGAAAAAGAGATCTCCGTCCTCCGTGTTTTATTCTTATATGATTTATAGAGTCGTTATTAATTTGTTTTAAAGCTCAATAAATAACAAAGAAGACCTTTGACCGGCACTTTTCTAATTTTGTCCTGAAGATTGAAACTTTAAAGGATATGTTGACCGGCGGAAAAAAATCGAACTGAAACTCTGCCGCACGGTCCCCTCGCTCCTTGGAAGAGTTGGAGAGGTGGGTGTTTGTCATCTGCTGGTGGACTAACCAGAGAGAATTACAGTGCTTGCCTCGACGGGGAGGGATTGTATTGAATTACAGCAGCGGGAGCAAACAGCGGAGAATAAACAGAAGGGCAACCATGCGCGGGAAGTCTTCTTCTCTGCTTTTGTGGCAGACTACAGCGCCACTTACAGGCCTGGCATATGTACTACAGCGTCTCCAGCGCTTTCGAGCGGCAATGGCCGGCGGTGGCCCAACCCCACATTCCCCTGATAGGTGGAGAGTTGGCCATATAGGCGGAGCACCACTTCAGAAGCTGGGACTCCCAGCAGCTTCTACTGAAGCCTTCCGAGTAAATTGCCAGAATGCCGACACCTCCTCATCACTCCACCGCTCCAATGTTTTTCTTGTTTTGTTGCCATAAGTTATTCTCTCTCCGTTGGTGCGCGGGGCTAATGCTAATAATGCTAATGCCAGCAAATACAATGGCAGCTTCAAAAAACTTTTCCGAGTTTTACGGGGCGTGGTTTGCAATTCGCCCAGCCAATCAGAAATTGGAACGTTTTTTCTCCCCACGAAAGTACCACCTCTCTAGCAGGCACTAAAAAGGGGGTAAAAGTTCTCATGAACTAAGTTCTCTTTTTGGTGTGAACGCAAAATCCCAGGAACTATCGGAACTAAACGGGAAAAGTACGGGGAAAAGTACTCCGGTGTGAAAGCGCCTAATGGTCTTCTTTAGTATTCACTACGCACAAGAGCAGACAACAACCTATTACAATTTTACACTATTACACACAACAATCTAAATTATGAAGTTACTGTTTAAGGCAGGACATTACAGGCAAAAATATCGTTTTTTCATGTACATTTTGTTATTTTGGTCTATTTTGCTTCCATGTTTTCTTTCACTCTAATGGAAAGAAAACTTCCAAAAAACCCATATAAATGGTGTTCGTTTTACTACCATGTCTGAATTCATCTATAGATTTAAAGCTAATCTGATCATTTAAACATAACATTTCAGGGGAAAATACTGACTTGACGTAAGTAACTATCTGGGGAAGTTGTGAGGTGTTATGTTTGTTGGTTGTTTTATCCTTTTCACCTGTCTTGGTAACTGCATGCAAATTAGCTTATTTTAATTAGGCCTAGTTAACACCTAATTTGCATATCAATGTGGCGATTGTGATGACGTTATTAGATACACATTTTTACTGTATTCACCTTTAGTGTTT